TACAGTTTGAACAGTTCCTTTTTTTTATTTTATTTTTAAGGCTACCGCATCAGTCCACAGGCCCTGAATGCTATTCTCAAGCGATACAACAAAGGGGGCAGGGTCTTCTTCGATGACTATGTGGCCTGCTGTGTGAAACTCCGAGCTCTCACAGGTATGAGAAGACAGACAAGGTCTGACATGTTCAGTGATCAGCCATTGCAAACGCAGACATGGCTTTCATTTCACCTGTATTCCCCTGCTGTTCGCTGTAGTGTGCTGCAATGTTCTACTTTGCTCCATCCTTACGTCTGAGTCACGAAGCAGCAAGAAATTAGTTTTATCGAAATCGTGACCCTGATCTTACTCTGCCTGTTACAGACAACTTCAGGCAGAGAGATGTCATGCAGCAGGGATCTGTCACCTTCCAATATGATGATGTAAGTATTTTTTATGTCTGGTGTTCCAATTTAGCTCTGCCCGAATCTGCTCAGATCACCTGGTTGCTGTGTTTGTGGTGTTCCAAACACCTGTGTTACCCATGCAGGAAAAAAAGATTTCTCCAGTCTTACTCTATTTTATTTATTTATTTTCCTGTCCTAATCCCCAGTCATGGCCATATCACAGTCCAAGTTAAGCCCTTTGCAGACATGAATAGGCAGGATTTGGCCAGCATTATAGACATTTTTCATCGGTTGTGAGTTTGGTGCACTATTCTTATATAAGCACAACGTAAACTTAACAGTAGAAAGTTACAAGGTTAAAGATCCATTTAAACTAGGGCTGCTCGATTATGGCAAAAATGATAATCACGATTATTTTCACTGAAATTGAGATCTCGATTATTTGACGATATTAATTTAACCCTTTAAGACCTACCATAGAACCAAGTCCGCCAGAGCTTATATTATTTTTTTTATTTTTATTTTTTATTTATTTATTTATTTTTACATGTTGTAGTGCCATTTTTGGGAGCATTTCAAGTTGCTATACATCAATACAACTGTTATAGCCCATATTTTAATAATATGTATGCATTAAGTCCATAGTAATTACATTAATTACAAAAAAAGTGCAATAAACTACAAAAAAATTGAAAATCGTTTTTGTTTTTACATATATTTCTACTTGGGGAAATTTAAGAGGTTTATCCCTCAAAACTTTAAATACAAAAAAGTTGCAAAAAATAGTTTCCCACCACAGTAAATTTATTTTGAGTGTCTTCATAGTTTTATTTTGGAGATACAGCAATTTTTATATACTGCAGGAAAAACAAAAAACAATCCTATGATGCAAATTTGCAAAGAAAACAGCACATGCATCAAAATAAACTATTTCCAGCAGTGCAATTCGAGTTCTAAGCATCCCAGCAACTTCAGAAAAGTCAAACATGACTTATAAAAACACCAGTATAGGCTTTTAAGGCCTACAAGTAAAAAAACAACATTTTCCATGAAAATGACGTCCCTTCCGGTTTCGGACAGGAAATGGCGGACATGCGATAGTTCGCGTTGACATCTTTTTCATTGTGGGAAGTGTTACGAACAGCTGATCGGATCGGCAAAGCGTGTTTCTGGAATATTATGTTTTTGTTCCTGCAAGCGCTTTTTATGCAATTTTTGCAAAGCTTTATGTGGAAGGAAGCTGATGGCATAAGATGTAAGTACAACTCCTCCGGTTTCATATGCAAAACAAATTATTGCGCTAGCTTACGCTGTTCCGGTTCTACAGGGATTTAAAGGGTTAACAATAACAATGTATTGAATAATGACTTTAAAAAATAATATAAAATAGTGTGCAAATACTGATAACAGTGCAAATGTTTGCAATATAAGAAATAAATGAAAAATGTAAACATCTACGTTTAGTGAACTTTGCAGTGTTGCTCTGTGGCGCAGCTACGACGCTGTAGCAAAGTTTACACACTATGTCTACTTGATCCACGTCAAGTAGAACCCATAATGTTTCCACACTGCTGAAGTTTTGTTTGTTTTTTTTACCTCTCTTTTCAACCAACGCCAGTCACTCTCCTCCCCAAATAACTTCTGCTTAGACCCGAGCTTCCCTCGGGTCTTCTTAATTGTTGTGACAGGTGTTGGAAGTGCAGAGAGGTGCGCTTGATTTGCCACACGGAGCAGCGCGAGAGTAAAGCACGAGGGAGGGGCTAATAATCGGCTCAGTCATTTTTAATGATCGTTGAAAGCCCAGATCGTAATCGTGATTAAAATTCGATTAATTGAGCAGCCCTAACTTAAACCTGATCTCACTATATCTGACTTGCTTTTTCATATGCACTTCTTTCAAGCAATGTGTAGAAAACTTAAGAACTACAGTGATAGTCCCCTCCTCACCTATACCCTTTATCGCTCTGGAGCTTTTCCGTTGCACTGACAGGGCTCCGAGAAACTATCATAGAGGTTTTGTCCTTGCACACCTGTACACCCACGGTGTGAAATGTTCTCAGCATGACAAACAAAAGCACGCTGTGCAGAGGGCCCAGGACGTGTTTGCAAGCTGTGGGATCCTGCAGCAGTTGGGGGTTTGCTAGCATCTTGCTGTAGCTTTAAAAAGCATTTCCTGTTGAGTTGTTGTGGATGACCACATTTACCACTCTTCCCCCTCTTGTTGACAGTTTATCCTGTGCACAATGGCCATCTAAGTGCTGTCGTCTGTCCCAATCCACGAGGGCAAGCTGTTTGTGTGCCAATCAGAACCTAATTCTGGATTATTGTCTCACGGGAATGCAAGGGAAGGCCAGTATACTAAGACTGTGCAGCAACAGAAAATTCACCCACTGCTTGTAATGCTTACTATAATGCATTAATTGTGTATTTTACACAGGGATGTGCTGAAGATGTACACACATATTATAAATCAGCATTGAAGGGCAATATTTTAAAGCCTGTAATAGAAATGTTTGTCTTTCAAAATAAGGGCACAAATATTATAATCTTTTAAGTTTATTAAAAAAAATGTAATCTCATAAAATCTGCATGTAGTGGCTTTAAAGGGCTTCATCATAAACACCTTTTTGGATTTGGACTTCAAAAATACATTTTTTATTTAGGATGATTTCCAAGAGATTTTATTCAATAACCAAACACCTGTTTTAACAGAAATTGTAAGATATGCTAACAACGTATCGCTGTTAAAAAGATGCTCTGATGTGCCATTAGACTTTCTGAATGTACGCTCCAAACACCTTTTGTTGGACTTACAGGAAGTGCATCACGAGTCACGATTGATTGTTGTTACAAAGAACATGTTCATTTGCTTTTTATATTAAATGTTTGACAGTAATGGATTTTGTCAGTTGCTGTTTTCTCATTTCCCCAATCTGATGTATACCCCTGTTTTATACAATTTACAAAACCAGATGCATATAAATTAAATTTACCAAGCAGTCAGTGATGACTGTGTGTTCGAAAAGTAGAGTGAGATCTGCAGTCTGTTCAAAAATGTTCATGTGTTTGAGATTTTCCAGCTGGGAATGTTTCAGCTTTTCCCCTTCGTCCATTGACAGCATTTTTGGAAAATCAGAATAACGACTTTTAATCAGCAAGCATTCTGTTTATTTATTTATACAACTGCGAATCCCCGCCCCCCAAGTCTATTTACACAATACACTTTATTTCTTTAAATATAGTTAACAGAAACATTCAAATTAGCTGTTAAGTGTTGCATTGTATAAAATACAGTGGCAAACATTTAAAAAAATGCATAAAAACAATTGTGAACAGCACTAGATTTAAAAAGTGACATATCGAGTACAGCAAGTTTTCTAATCTCTGTGCAAAAGTCTGCAAATCCCAAGAAAGTTCATTAGATGCCTCTTCAGGTGTTGGACATGTCAAGTTTTGTTCTACACATGTGCTTGAGAAAGAAAGCTTATCCAAAAAAAGCAGGAAACATTTGTATCGTCCTGTAAAGATCTTTAATCTCACCCATGTTAATTGTGTATTATCTTACCACTTGGTTCTTCTGGAAGGATAAATCTGATTTCATCATTTCTCTCATATCTCACCAAGTTTTTGATCACGTCTACATGTATTATTGAGTGGTTTGGAGTCAAAGGATCAAATGCAAGCCAGGCTCTCTTCAGAGAACAGCGAAGTTCTGGGTTTGAACTTGCTTGTTTCAACATACCAAATGATCAGAGAGAAAGGTCCAAGTAAAAACTGGGGGGAAAAAATCATCAAATCAATGTGCAAAAAATCAAGACAAACTCTGTGCAACACATCGCCTTCAGTGTTGCCCATCTCTGCTTGCTACATTGAGAGGCTACGCCTGACATTAATCATCATCATCGTCCCAGCAGTAGTCCACAGCATTCCAACCGAGAGCAGGGCTTTTGGAAACAAACAAGGTACATAGAAAAATAATGGCAAATTAATACTTTGTTTTAGAAAAATAGATGTAACTGTTATTTCCAAGTCTCTGCGGATGAGTCGTGTGCTGTAATTACAGATCAATACGTGTCACGCAGACCTTTTTATAATTGTTTCAAGTGCAGTCTCCATGCAATACACGAGCTTGTGCTGGACTTTATGTAGTTAGAAAACTAAAAGGACTAATTCTCATAATGCAGTCTAATCTAAAATGGTTTGGTACATTTACATTTGTGGATAAGCAGATTTTTGGTGTGTCGGACTGATGTTTGTAAAGGCTAGAGCAGGCGAATAAAGCTAAGGCCGTTTGGAGGCTGAGCTCTGTCCTCAGCATAAAATACATGAAATAAACCTTGTTTAAGATGATTGTTTAATCATCATGCTTTGTTAACGTTCACATAGGCAATGTTATTTTAGGAGTATAATGGAAGACGTAAAGCATGCAACTGAATGAAACAAGCCTCCAGCAGTTCCTTCCAGCTTTCAAGACAATTTGGGACGCTGGTTCCTGTCAAGCAGTCTCATTCTCAAACACTTGAAGGACTTTTATGTCAAGGAAATCAGTTTAGGAGTTTTAATTATTTCTAAAACATTCATTTTCTGTGACAAAATGACAAATGGAGCTCTTCGTTTGAAAGAATAATACCAAGTTAAGATGAATTTGAATAGGTGTAAACGCAAAGTCCACTTTATCTGATGTATCCAGATACAGATAATTCATAAGAAATCATGTATGTGTGCACAAAAAGTGAAATGTGTACACATATTCTTTTCTTCTTGTATGAACCGGGCATGTGTATTAGGAAAATTACCTTCTTAAACCATGAATGTATTTAGCCAATCCTGTCACTGATCTTTTGTATACAAAAACTCTGGATCTTGTGTGAAACACTCACTTGTGGGAACTGTGTTCTGTTGGTCTCAGTTCTACAATCAGAAACAGATCAGCAGAAGCTAGAGCTCTGTATGTGTAAAGCAAAGGGCAGCAGGTGCAAGGGTTAAAAAAAAAAAAAAAGAATACCAAGGCATCAATAAGGTCCTCCAATAAGCCCGATCCTTATGTATAACCACTACACACTATTATTGTTATTTATAGCTCCCACATCAAAAGCATTTACCAGATTTAGTGTTGCTCAGTCACGCTAGAGTGTAAATAGGGCAACAACCTTGGTTGCCCTGTGATTGCACTGAATCGTGAAGCACCTTCAAGCTTCAAATAGGGCAGCGACCCATCTCCAAACAGGAAATGTGGACTGATCCTCTCACACAAATTGGCAAAGGTTTGCATATAATTGCTAAGTTAGGAATAAAGTCAGACTACAAACATGTTGCAATGAGGCAACGTGTCAATATGAGCAACTCTCCTGTGATGAGTCTCTGCAACAGCCCACTCGACTCAACTGGTTGCTGCTAGTTGTATACTGATTATATTCCTGTATCAGAGCCTGTCATTTTGCAGTTATTCTGCTATATTGCAAAAACAATTTATGGAGGAATTTCTGTTTTAAAAACATAATGTTCTGGCTGGACTCTGAATCTACATACCGTAGCTAATGTGAATTTCTATTTACTTTCTGTGCAACAGATTAGCAGTTTTGACTAATTCCTCACAGATAACTGCAGTAGTGTTCACAGACCTGGTCCTATCTTCGAAACAACTATTTCAGAGGCAATAAGATCCCAAGGTTGCAGTAATTTTGGTCACACCACAATCTCCACCCACTGTTTTCTACAGTGTGATAATAATTAAATAATAAGAAATGTAAGCTCCGGGACACTTTCTTTTGTTTTATTTCCATCACATTATTACTGATCTCCATGTCAGCAAGTCAAGCTTGACTTACTCTGAGAAAACCATGTGTACGCATGTTCTGAAGTGTTTGACTCATCCTTTGTCCGGCTTTTTCATGCATATTCATGGTTTATATATTTGGCTACTGGTAAAAGTTGGATTTGTGTGTGTGTGTGTGTGTGTGTGTGTGTTTTGTAAATGGACTAGCTTAATAAGCTACAGGAATTATTGTTGGTGAATTAGCCTGAAAAGACTGGAAAAAACAATACATTTTGTGAACTTTCTGTCACAAACAGCCATCAAAGATTCATGCTGACTTTTGTCAGTGTCTCGTTGATCACTACCAAAATAGAATAGGACAAGCAGACAGTGAGCTGTGCTTCACACTGTAAACCATCACAGAAAAAAAACTTGTCCAAACAGCCTTGACATAAATGTCCTTCATGTTTTTGACTTCCTCAGGGTGTTAATCATCTTCATGTTGTGGTCTTAATTTTTGTTTGTTTCTAATAATTAAAGTGAGCTGAAATGTGTGAAGCTTTACATCAGGTTTGCTCTATACAAGTAAATTCATCCACAGCACAAACGCTATGTTCTTCAGCTCATAGATAATTATTTCCAGAATGTATTTAACTCTAGAAACATACCAGAAAATCCACTGTGGCTCCTCATCATTACATCATTATTGCTTTCAAAGACTGACAAAGTTGTCATTGTGCTATGGGACATCAGAGCAGCCTCTACACACTCTAATATTACATCCTGTAATAGGGGCTGAATAACTGGTTTTTCATATGTCATGGCAATGTGGTGTACATTAGGCACGCTAAACATACAGACAGCTCTCCTTGCCAATATGCGACTGCACCAATTTATTTGGAGCTTGAAAGCTGTGGAGTGAAATATAAACTTAGCACAAAAAGTAAGGAAGTTTGTGTTTGGCTAATTGTATCAGTGATTGTTTATTTCCCCTTAAATGGTGCCACATTTGTAAGGAAAATGCATTTGTGGGTTGAGCAGCAAAGTTAAGTATGTGGTTGCTTGCCAAACAGCTTATTCTGTGACCAACACAACCACTTTGGCTGACTTGGGTCAAATGGTGGTTATAAAATGGGACACCAGCGCACAGCACTGTGCTACCAAGCTGGTGACTAGGATGAGGAGGAGGTGGAAGGCGAGGCCCCTGTTTTATAATGAACAAATTGTCAATGTTTCTTGTTTCTTCGCACTTCAGTCATTTAATTCAATAAATAACACCAAACAAGACAACAGATAAGCTGGTTTGGTGTGTTTTTCATAGTTTCAACCCACTTGCTCAACACTGCTGCTCAACCCACAAATGCATTTTCCTTACAAATGTGGCACTATTTAAAGGGAAATAAACAAGCGTTCCAACAGTATAACATTTATTAGCAAGAAGGATTATTACAACAAAGAAATAATTGACCAAACACAAATTTCCATACTTTTTGTGCTAAGTTTAGAAATGCCTTGGAAAGAGTTTCAAGTAGCTTTGTTCCCTGTGAGGAGGGAAGAGTGGTGGAAAATGAGAGTGGAAAGCTACAGTCTGTGTGCAGTCTGTGAGCATGCTGAGGCCACCCCTGAATGAATGGTGGTTTGCACTGTGTGTGAGGAACATGCAACAGAAGACATGAGAAAAAAAAAATCATGCATATCTTTTCGGAAGAGCACATTAGGTGCCTTGAGTTGCTGGCAGTGTTCTATTTCAACTATGTACATGGTAGATGATGACTTTACACGTGGAAGTAATATAGTGTATAAATACCTCTGTATAAATGGATTTTATACATCTAAATTGGAGCACAGGGCAGGGACGGAGGAGGGAGCTAGGGGGTTTTCTCAAAAGGAATGGAAGAAAGTCTACAGTTTCTTTTAACCTTTGCATATTTAGTCTCTTTCTTAAACCCTGAGTCAAGCTTTAGAAATAACCTTCAGTCATTGTCGAAGGGTTTGGAGTGGGGGGTGGGGGCTACATCCCTGGAAGCCCCGGGTCGGAGACTGGCCTGTGGAGTCCCAACATTCCTGAGCTGCTGGGGACATCTGGTAGAGAGGCTTGCCGGCTTGATGGGAAATTCAGTGGATGTTGGTGGTGCTGCTGCTCTGCTGAGTCTAGGATGTCTCTCTGCTCAGTGTTGGTGTTATTCTCAAGCAGTCCAGCTAAGTCCCCATTGGGATGAGTCTCTGCATGGAGAAGGACTGGGGAGGTTTCTTTGGATGTGTTCAGGGCTCTCTCTGAGCCGGGGCTCTGGGGATGGAACAGTACAGTGGAAATCCACAGAAATTAAAGAAAGACTACACACAGCAAGCGACTTTCTATCACATGATATAAACCCCTGACAGCCGGTCAACGTAGGAGTGGTTTTTGGTAGTTCTTTCCAAGGCTTTATCTCACTTTCTTATTAGTTTTAATAAATAATAAATAATAAAAATTAAATTAAATTTAAATTTTACTGTGAATTTTGTCCTTCCATATATGTGCTCTCCCGCACTATTTCAACACTGCTTTCATAAATATCCACCTATAATACAAAACCTATAATAACAGGAGATGAAAAATTTTATTTGCTGTCCAGTAGCCTCTTTATTTATATGCCACTACTGCATGCCATTAACTTTTTCTACTCTCTGTGATTCGTTCTGTTTGTTGACTTTCTGCTCCTGTTTTCTCTCTCTTGTTTTTTACGTCACCTGATGGCTGCCCTCTCCTGAACCTGGTCCTCCTGGGAGGTTTATCCTGTTTTTAAAAAAAAAAAAAAAAAAGGAATTCTTCCTCCCCACCATCACCAGTGCTTTACTCATAGGACACACAAGGGCAAAATATGGCTTGAGGTTCAGAACTGGCACATGGAGCTTCCTAATCAGGCTCCTGATGTCCTAAAACTAAAAACTAAAAAACAAACAAAACAAAAACAAAGAACAGTTAGTAGATCTCATGGCGAATGACTGAAATGAGTCCATCCTGCTCGATTTAAACAAGAAAGTGCAATAGTGCAAAAAAGTCAATGTGGCCTTTTGAAAACAAACGCTTCTGATGCTCGTCACAGGAGATTGCTGGTTCATAAGGATAGTATTATTAATAAATCTTATAACATTTCAGGCTATTTACCTTCAAATGTAAAAGGACCGTGAACTGTGAACTGCTGCCACAAATAAATCAAACTGGATTTAATGGAATAAAAGATCAATATTTAATATTATTTTGAAGGGCAAGCTGCTCCAACTTTACAACAGCAGCACGCTGAGTGATGACGGGCAAAATCCACTGGTGTTCTCTGATTTGTGTAACGCAGAGCTCCATCACAGCTAACCAGTTTGCTCTACTATGCTCGAAAATAATTCCTAACTGATGTTTTCCTTGCTGACCTGTGATGGAGGGACTGTAACATGAACAGCAGGTTTTGTACTGTGTAATCTTTGCTTTAAGTAAACATTAAGTAAATGTAGAGGAAATGACCCCTTTAAGCTCTTTTTGGTAAGGTAGTTGCTATTTGGTTTGACTTTTGGTAACTGTTATTTAATTATATAATAATTACAAAAAAACCCCAAACAACACAAAAACTATGATTGGAATTCATCAACAAGAATCTTAAGATTATACAGATTTGAAATTTACCACAAAAACGGAGCCAAAGCTATTGTAAAACAGTGTGACAACCAGCTGAAAACCGTGGCAGTGTTAGGGAAAATCAGCGTTTCCACTCATTAAGCTTCTGCTGTACCTGCGGCTGGGATGGAGCAGGGCTCACATCGATGGCAGACACCAGCTGGATCCTGACGGCTGGCCTCTGGTACTCTGGGCTGGAGGTGACGGTGCTATAAGCTGGAGGACCGGCTGCTGTTTGCCTCTGAAGGAGCTGCAGGATAGCCTGGATGTCTGCAGTCATCTGGGACTCAAGTCTGATGGCCACAAAACATGAAATAAACTGAAAAGCAGCATGACAGTGGTTCCATTTTGGATGCTGTAGATCTTTGTGTTTCATTAGAGAAAACACATCTGAAGGAAATATATTAGCAGAACAAAAGTTCACTTCAACAAAGTAACAATGAGCCTTGATAGTTGATTGTTTACATCAGGGGAGGGGAACTCCAGGCCTCAAGGGCCTGTGTCCTGCAGGGTTTTAGATGTGTCCTTGATCCAGCCCAGCTGATTTAAATGGCGAAATTACCTCCTCAACATGTCTTGAAGTTCTCCAGAGGCCTGATAATGAACTAATCGCTTGATTCAGTTGTGTTGATCCAGGGTGATATCTAAAACCCGTGGGGACACCAGCTCTTGAGGCCTGGAGTTCCCCCATTTTTGATGCTCGACATCAGGGGTGTCAAACAAAATTAATAGGTAATTAGCAAGACTCTATAGAAAGTGGTAACCCCTAACTCTACCTAAGTAAATTTAAATAAATGTAAGTAAATGTAAATGTTTGGAAAAATGTACTTCTAAAAGCGTCTGGACTTCTTTAAGTTCCTTGAAGACGTTTCACCTCTCATCCGAGAAGCTTCTTCAGTTCTAAGGGTCAAATGGTGGAGAGTCCCAGATTTAAACCTAGTGGGAGTATCCCCCACTGGGTTTAAATCTTCTCTCCAAGCTCCTTAGACTACGATGACCTGGATGACTGAGAACCTTCAGACGTACTTCTAAAAGTACTTTTATTGCACCATGTTCATTCACCCATAAGCTGCTGTAACATGAATCAAATGGTTCTATATGTGGGGGTTATACCCCATACATATGGAATATGTAACGGAGTGGAGAGATAGTCTTGATATGATAGAGAACTAAAGTGCTCTTACTAAATCCCCAACGTCTGCAGTAATAGTATCAGTGTATCAGTAGTGCAGTTTACTACCAGGATTTTAAAAAATGTATTTGTGTAAATTTCAACTGTTTTGCAGAGTGTAAGTTATGCAGTGTGTGGACTGTTATACAATAAATATGCAGACAGAAAAAGCATACCACAGTTTAGTGCAGTACCATGGATGGAACACTAGAGGGAGCTTTAAAGCTTCCTTCATATAGTAAGGACAATCAAGAGTTTCCCGGTAGTATGATCCTGCTCAAATGCAGAGCCTTCAGGAAGATGAGGAATTCTCAAAGGTGTGACCGAACACATGTAGTGTGTGCATGTATTGATGCATTAAAGATTTCACCAGCAATAAATAAGGAAAGATAATTCAAATATTCTGAGTTGTGTGCTAAAGATATTCGCTAGTAAAAAGTCTAGTAATTCCCTCCAAAATGAAGTGGAAATGTGAAGTAGTAGATAATGAAGAAGTGCTCCCAGTGCTCAGTTCCCTCACTGTTGTGCCAATTTTGAACCTGATTCTGTGATATCTGCACTTGAAAGTATAAAATCCTCTATAAAAATGAACTGTTTTTCATTTCTCCTGGAGATCGCTGCATCACCTTATGCACCAAGTTACATCATGAGCCACAGGGTGTTAGGTGATGAATCACCTCTTTTCCCCCTGCTTACACACTCCTTTTCTGTCCTTCAGTACAAAATAAAGAGAGTCAGTAAACACAGCGAGCAAAACAGAAGCTTTCCAGTGCAGACTCGAGCACATTGGTACTTTGTCAGGTGAGTGGGGGTTTTTTTCACCCAGAGGACAGAGTGGAAGTAAACACTTTGTCTCGGTTCTGCTGTGAGGGGAAATGAGGGTTGGTAGTGCGGTGGCCAAGCCTGCCCATCAACTGAATCAGCATAAATGGCTGAAAGGTAATCAGCAGTGATGAGACCAGAATTTCTACCGAGAGGCAGTGAGCAGAATATTGAAGAAACTCAAGTAGTTCCACCCTTCAATTCATTACTTCATGTGAGATTTGCGAGACAGTTGCTAACAAATGCCATCTCCTTCAATTGGCAACTTTACTGTGACTTCCACAAACCAAACCTCGTAGGATGACGTCGAAACCCTTGCAATTTGTCTGTATCTTGTGGCTCTGCGCTATAAATAGACAGTCGCTAACTGTCTTCCTCCCCCTCATCTGTATCAGTGCACCAGCCCAGAATCACACCAGCTGCTCACATGGTCCACTCTCTGCATTAACACAGCTGCAGTGGGTGTCTGGCCTAAAATGTGTATGCAAGTTTTAGCCAATTATAGGCAGAATTATGTGATTCACATGGCTAGCTCTCAAAGAAGCTGCTGAAAAATACAAAGCCTATTATAGAAAATTGAGTCAAACATGATCCCAGAGGTGTCTTTAGTAATCCAAAGGTTAAGTGCCTGAAAAATCCTGAAATAGCATTCCACTGATTTAGCTCCTGTAACATTGACTAGTGATGGTAAATCTGATTGGCCAGTAGTACTGACCAATAGATTAGTTTAAGTTTTAACCAAAACTGTTCAAAATGTGAAAAAAGCCTGAAAGTTTACATATTGGTGCTTTTTTCTTTGTTCCTTTATTTAAAAACAGGACATCCGTGATTTGGCAGTTGCTCCCCAGAAAAAGGATGTGTTATAGTTTTTATGGGATTAACTGAGAAAGCTAGCTTTCTGGTATAAAAATGAGCTATGAGTGGTTTCAACAATGCAAAAAAAGTAGAAGAGATCAAAATGCGTGGTCTACATAGGAAGAGAAATGGAGAAGGGGGTCAACTTGAAGGAAAAGTATGTGAATAATGTGACCGTGAAGAGGGTTGCAGACAGAATCATGAGTTTGAACCCAGAAATTTAAGGGGTGATGCTGAATGTTGTCAGTGTCACAGGTTGAATATGTCAGTTAGAAGAAAGAATTCTAGAGTAAGTTGGATGAAGCAGTAGAGACTGTTCCCATGGGCGAAAGAGTGGTGATTGGAGTGGATGTCAATAGACATGTAGATGAAAGGAACAGAGGTGATGAGGGCATGCTGTATAGCTATAGTGAGAAATCGAGAAAGACAGATGGTAGTGGATTTTGTGAAATGGACAGAAATGGCTGTAAACACAAAGGGAGAAACATAGGGTGATCTAAGAATGAAGGAAGTTAAACACAGGTGAATTACATCTTATGCAGAAGGGGAATCCGAAAGAGAAGACTGCAAAGTTATGTCAGGGGAGAATGTCGCTAGTTAGTGTCAGACGGTAGTCTATAGGAAATTACTGTATATTAAGAAGAGGAAGCAAGTACAAATAAAGCTGAGGATGAAAGAATCGTATGCACAGTTCAGGGAGAGAGACCTGCTCTGGTTTGTAGGGAAGTGTTACCGATGAGTGGGAAAGTACAGCTAAAGTACACCAAACAGTTGCCAAGAAGCTGTTTGGTGTACTTGGTGGGGAAATGGAGAAGTGCAGGAATGTATTCAAAGAAATAGGTTAGCTAAGAATTAGTTGAGTAGTCAGAGAGTTGAAGAATGGAGACAGAAGGCTTGCAGTGACTTCTATGTGATCCTAGGCACTAATGAAGGCGAAAAGGACTTTTACTGACTGGCTAGGCAGAGCGCTTGAGTTGGAAAGGATGTGCAGCATGTTTGGGTGATTAATGATAAATGAAATGAAAAATGAAAAAAAAAATACTTATGCTATATATACTTATATATGTAGATAGTAACGTGTTTAGGACTGACATCATGTTCCATTCTGCTCAGCAGACTTTTGCAGGGACGTTCAGCTTCAGCTCCAGCATTGACTGATAAACTGGTCTTTTCCTGCTGCTGTTGCTATATTGCATTTAGAAATTCACTATTGAGTTTAGCCGCTAAAGTTGCCTGAAGCCTCTGTATCAACGTAATCCTGAGTGTTGACGATACAAAGAGCATTTACAGTCTTTTGGTTTGACATGACCAACAAGCTGTTTCAAAACCCTTCCCCTTTGCCCTTGCGCACCTGTTGAGGTGCTGCTGTAGCAAGTCTAGACGTTGCTCCACCTCTCCATAGGTGAGCTCTGTGTCACTGTCATCCTCCCTGGCTGGTGTTTCCTGGCAGTGAGCAGACTCCTCCGCAGCCTCACCGGGATGCTGATGCACCCACTCGTCAGGGTGGAGCTCTGGAGGGAAAGACATGCAAGCAGAGATGAATACGCATACACACGCGTGCACAAGAAACGATCTGTGTTATTAGAATGGTTTCTCAGGGAAAGCACTGTATGTGCTGTGCCCTCTCATCATTTAGCTTTACTGAGCTCCGAGCAGCTTACCACCTTCTGATTCCTGACATTTACACTGGAGAGGAAAACACCCATCTGACCCCAGCTTGCATCACAACCTCAGTGGGATTTTCCTGCCTCTCTTTTGGGTTTCTGCTAGAGATTAAATTGACATTTCCTGTGCATTTCTCTCGCCAGTTTGTAAGAATCAATATCACTCTGCTCTCCAGAACAAATCCTCTTACAGCTGTAACATCTGAATTGTGGGATATTATCAAACCAACACACTGACACAGATTTCCCACGTCAGTGTGGAATCCTGCTGAGTTTGACTTACAGTTAAAATGCAGGAGCGCCCTGTGCGTGTGTTTATACTAAACCAATTTATGGAGGATTTAAGGTGACTGCAGCTGACTACTGAGAGTGCAGATCAAATGAAGTCAGATGCAGCTGTTTATGTGGAAGCTGCATCTGCATTGGAATGCATAGGAGGATTCTGTATCGGTTTGCTGCGCCTTTACAGCCGGTACAGTCCTATTAACAACATTCACATTAACAACATGTTTCCAACAGATCCTTCAGTTTGGCCCGAACCTACAGTCACAAGGGGTGTCCCGAGCCAAGTGCTGGATAAAATCCTCTTACATTTTATTACTGAGTTGGTTTTAGGTTTCAACATGACACATAATCCTTTTTGGGATTTTTAATAGATGTGACAATCCTCCCCTCAGGCTTTTTTAACTGGGGTTTTTTGAATTCTTGAAAATGAACTTCTAAGTTAATTACTTATTCTGGTGTCAACCTTTACAGGGAAAAAACCCCCAGATTTACAGGAAACTGTGTATTTGAACAATGTCAGTAATTTCTCAGATGTTTCTTTAGTGTTTTATCCACTTGGTTTTTGTTAGAAAAAAACATTTATTTGAATGACAGGAAAGAAATAAAGACTAATCTCTTGTTACTTGATGGAGAGATAAAAAAAAAACCTCTTCATTTGTAGGAACAAATACATCTGACATCTCTGTCACCTTTGTATTCCTGGTTCTGTGCGTTGTCTCCAGCCTGTGTACTGGAAGCACTGTTCAACCCAAGGCCCAGGGCGTGGTCCCTTACCACCGGGTAGCCCAGCACACCAGAACACAAGGGCCTCTGCTCCTCTTCCTCCTCCCTGCCTTCCTCTTCCTCCTCATCCTCATCATCCTCTCCCTCCTCAGCAGACTCTCTCCTCTTCTCAGCTGCCGAGGAAGCATAGATCTGCCTCGTCTGCTTTGTGTTGCAGTAGGTGACCGCAGTCTCCTTGTTGTCCTGGTTGTGGGAGCCTACGGGCACAAAGTGCAGTCAGAAAACCTGCTGGGGGAACACTGACTTCCTCTGGGGATGTGGGGGTTGCCTTTGTTATCTGACAACAGTAGCACGTGTCTTGCTTTGGGATTAAAGTGAGGACAAACAATGTTAAAGCACAATCTAGCCTGTTAATGTTGTGCATTATATCATAATGTGTTCCAAATGTGTGTTTACAAGGCTAGCTTGTTCAGCAGTAATGAATAGTGAACATGAGCTTTTCATTCCAAACTGAAATGAGGTCTAAATCTTCACACCTGATGGATGCAGGCAAGATATGCCAGCTGCTAGTCTGTGAAATGGACCATTAGCTACTTTCTCTGTCCCTACTTGTGTTATACTGTGAGATGGTGACACCAGTGACAGAGGACTCGTAACCATGGTGACCAATTAGATTAAATTAAAGATATTCCACTTCACGTACGAAGTACTGAATGATGATGAAGCATTATATTTTTAAAATCTCTTAGTATCAACTGTTGCCAGAAGAGCTCTTCACTCTCATACTGCAGACTTGTTTGTGTATTTTATTTTACAGTCGACTAGGAGGCAGCGCCTTCAGCTACTGGATCTCTTTTCTGTGAAACTAGCTCCCAGTTTGGATTTAAGAGACAGACATGCTCCCTACTTTTCATATTAAGCTTTAAACTCTTCTTTTTCCTACAGGTTATGAGTAAGTCTATGGGCTCAAAATGAGGTCATAAATATTTTGTACTTGTAAATCGATTTTGTACTTGTAAATCAGGATTTGTATGTGTAAAAAAAATTTGTGTGTGTAAAAAAGATTTGTATGTGTAAAAAAGATTTGTGTGTGGACTTAGCCAAAAAAAACCCTGCAAGTTACAAGTACGAATTTTGACCCTATTTTTCTTCCTTTCATCTGATTGGTCAATGTCATGTCAATCACAAATGTAACAATCCAATCAGAGAACAGATGGGTTTGGCTGTCTGAGGGGTGCTTTTTTTGAACTGCAGGTCTTTGAAGGGAATAAATGCCCTTTTACATGCCAACCCAGAGTTTTCCTTCATCACCACGAAGGAAAACAGTCTGTGGTCGTCTGAGTTGGTGATTTTTGTGTCACAGGTCTACGTGTTTAATATAGGGACTTCTCTGATTGGATTGTTACATTTGTGATTGACATGACATTGACCAATCAGATGAAAGGAAGAAAAATAGGGTCAAAATTCGTACTTGTAACTTGCAGGGTTTTTTTTGGCTAAGTCCACACACAAATCTTTTTTACACACACACAAATTTTTTTACACATACAAATCCTGATTTACAAGTACAAAACCGATTTACAAGTACAAAATATTTTTGACCACATTTTGAGCCCATATAAGTCTGGATCTGGATATCCAAACAAGTTATGCTACTATAGGCTCTGCTGGGAGATGCACTGAGCACTTATCTATTCTCACCTCCCCCCATTTTCCCCATTTGTTGTTTGTAGCCTCTCTGTGCTCTTCTTTCCACTCATCTCTTCCCCCTCACTCCAACCAGTCAACATATGGCTGCACCTCCCTGAGCCTGGTTCAGCCAGAGGCCTCTTCCTGTTAAAATGGTCTGTCAGATTGTTGAGGTTCTCTTTTTGTATGTTGTTGCCAGTGACAGTGACAAAAGATGGATTAATTAATGTAGTTTAATGAAATTGTTTAGACTTCTCTGTATTTTAAATTCTGTCATGCGTGAGCTTCAGAAAAGTACAAAACAAGTCCAGCTTGTCAGTGCCGAGCACTTTCACAATGCATTAACAGTGCAAATAGGAAGGTTCAGAGAATTGCTTTCAGTTTGTATGATTGAGCATGACTGCACAAAGAAACCTAATATAACCCAGCCTAACTGTAAGAAAACATTCTTTATTAAAGTATCTTTTCTGAAAATAAGCTTTTTTTATTTTATAAACCTCCCCTTTTATTAACATTGAGGCTGTCATTGCACTTGAGTCAGCACACATTCATGAGAAGGGGCTAGGAATGAGGAAGCGCAGCTTTGGCAAGTTAAATGGAGCATCAGTGGGCTTCAGTGTAACTCAAACACCACCTGGAGGCATCGTTGCGTAGACCTGTTTATTTAAAATACTGTCCTGAGAATCAAAAATGTTTGTAGGAAAAACCGAATTCGCAGCTAAGGTCACCATGACTTCCTACAGAGTGGACGGTGTGCCAAAAGGCCACCGTGTGATAACTAAATGTTGAATTCTTGAAGACATTCAACACATCCAAAGCATTGAAAAACACATCACCCAAAATTCATTCTCATTAGCCCTCATGAGTTTCTGACCTGACACAGGGAGGTCACATGCTTTGCTAAGACATCAGGCAACTCTGATTTGCCTGCTGTCTTCCTTTTAAGGCACAGTTTCAATACTGTTATTTGGTTAAGTGATCAGATTGGATTTGTGTGTCTACATGTCGCCCGGCTATCTGAATGAGTTGCTATGGTAACAGTGTAATAAGTAAGCAGCTCTGCATGTGTACCTTGTCCTTTGCGTCCTGTGTTTTGCATGACAAAAGACGCTTTGTAAACTGACTTTAGCATCCACACTGACACACTTCTCTAGAAATGTCCAAATGTGGTTTCAATCCACTTAAAAAAATGCTGGAATCTTTCTGAATACAATATAGATGTGCTAAAAATAGGTCTGAGAAAGGCTTCACACTCAGCTCCACCTAGGCTCTGTGCACAGGTACATGTATAGGAAAATGACTTCATTTGAATGTGAGTCTCTGTGATAGGTACAGGTATGTGAAACATCAGTCACAGAAAAAAAAAACATGAAATAAGGCTAAACAGAGAGTGTAACAGTGGTTTTGGAGATCATTTCTCTCAAATTATGCTGACAATTCAATACCCAAACTTTGGTCATTTAGTCATAAGATCCATAATTGCAGCTGCTGTTGCTCGGATGAAAGGCTCACTGTTAATTATTAATAAAAGCTACTTTCAGATGCTCCCTTACTCACAAGGGTCACCTCAGCAGGTAGTTCCATATTTGATTTGGCAGATTTACATGCTGTGTGTCTCTCTTTTACACAAGTCCAAACAGATCTGTGTCTAAAACAGTGAAAAGAATTTGCAGACTTTAGACTTACAGTTTAAGGTGATTGTCAAATTTTATATGTAACATTTATGACTAAGTTTTCAGAAGTTGATCAAATGAAAGTAAATAAATTAAAACTGAGAGAATGTTCACATTACTCTGTCATTAATCTGACAATCCCCGGTGAGGAAGGACAGGGCAGGAGTATTAGGAAAACTCTGTTTTAACAGGAAGACATTTACCGCATAGCCAGGCTCAGGTAGGTGCTGTCACCTGCTGAGGCCAGGTGAGTCATAAGGAGAAAGACAAGATGAACAAACAGCAACCACCAACAACAACAAGCAGGTAACAAGACAAAACAAACACACACAATCTTCTGGAAGTCCAAGCCTATAGCCCAGGGGTGTCGAACCCCAGGCCTCCAGGTCCAGTGTCCTGCAGGTTTTAGATCTCACCCTGGGTCAACACACCTGAATCATTTAAACCAGTCCTCTGGAGAACTTCAAGATATGTTGAGGAGGTAATTTAGCCATTTAAGTCAGCTGTGTTGGATCAAGGACACATCTAAAACCTGAATAACTAAAAATGGTTCAGGCACCTGATCCAATCCTAATTATAAGCTTTATGACACTGTCTGTCTCCTGAACCCAAACTGGAAGCCGTTTCCACAGAGGAGAAACGCCTTATAGTTGAAGGCTCTGCCTCCCCTTCTACTTTTAGAAACTGCGGGAACCACAAGTAAGCCGTGCAGGCGTATTGAAGAGTGCTCTGTAAGGATAACATGGTACTATGAGGTGTTTAAGATAGAGGGCCTGAAAGATCAGATGGATTCTATGAGGATTTTAAATGGGTTTTCTGGATTTTACAAAAAGCAAAGGAAGACTAGCTAATGTGGACTTTCTGTGCAGAGCCATTTCTAATTTTTTCAATATTCTGCATTTTAAAGTTGTTACTAGAGACTTGTTACATGGTCAGGAACGACTTTTAGGCACTGCTCCTTATAACTTACCTTACTGGAGGCCAAGATAATGCCATCCATGGTATGTATCAGTTTTGGCAGCATGTTTCTGAGGAATATTTAAATGAGGGTGCAGCAGGTCTGAGGTGTTAGCTGGCTGAATAAATGGCACTGCTATGGTAACAGTAAACAGTAAACAGCATGTGTGCTGGTTATCCAGATGCAAAATAAACAGGGTTTCCCATTTAAAACCACCAACAGTAGTGCTTTTGTGCATCACGCTGACCTGTGGAGGATTTCCTTCTGTATGAGACCCGTTTTCGACACTTGGAGTCATCCATGTTAGAATCAGTTTCTTGTGAGTAGGTCACCTATAAAGAGATGATGTATGATCAGACTGAACCAGCGTAAAAGTCTGTGTCATATCTGTGTCACTCGCCTCTGTTGTTCTAGAAGTAAAAATGTTAGAAGCACAAAAATTGTGTTGGTATTAAAACAACAAGCTTCCTTAACTAAGCAATATAAACTCCTGCATGTCTTGTTGGAACACCATGTCTCTGCTGTTTTTGTTGTAATCCTAGCACGCTCTTCTCATGTGTCACCTCTGCTCTGCGTCCCTCTCTGCTTTCCAGTTCTCTAAATAAATAACCAAAGGTCAACACAAAGTGCACTCCCAGCTCTCTTTTTAAAAGATAAAACTAGCTCATTTGGATTCACACACACACACGATGCTGCTCTCTCACTTAACGTGTTATTACAACCTCCCACATCATGTCTTCTGTCCAGCGATTAGTACTCTCTCATTCTTGTCTTCCAGCAAATGAGCGATTACAGAAATTTCTTTAAAATAGAATTGAATATGAAAGCCTATATTGCTATAATCGGTGGGGCAAGCCTTATTTAAGTTACCTTTGCATTTTCATCACGGAGGTCAAACGTGAGCTCCAGGTTAGTGAAGAAGTGGTCCGCGAATTCTGGATACATGTCCAGCACCTCCAGAATGTCCTCCCTCTGAATGGTTTGCAGGTCACAATAACTTAGTGCCCGCACATCTGCGCAGGATTTCCCCGGCTTTGCGTACAGGTGTATCATTTCTCCGAAGATGTCATTTTTGCCTAAAGAAGAAACAAGTGGGGAGGTTGACACAGGAAGTGTCATCTTTCAGCTTATGAAGGACATTTATTTTTGGCAGAAGAAATTAAATTAAAGTTACTGGAGAACATATAGCATATATAACTTGTAGATGCAGTGTTTTGCAGACTGGGGAACCTCTGCCTAAGAAACTCTCCCTCTGATGCTTTTCTTATAACCAAACATGTTACTGAGCTACAAATTAAGCTAATTAGATGCAAAATGTTCCTCCACCTGTTTTTCTTAAAATGATAACGATAAAACTTTGTTTCATATTGACTAAAATATGGATTTATGAGATTTTATTTACATTTTGTGTTATTTTTGTGTTGATCTACTTCCCTCGCAGAGAATGTGCTGACTTACATGTGATGGCCCTTGCTTATCCTAACCCTATTGTGTCATGTGCTTTCTCTAGACCTTATTGGCTGTGTGAAAAGAGCCCTTAATGAAAAACAAGCGTATAAAAGGCTCAGCAGGCTACACCTGCCCACAGCTGAGATGAGAAAAACAGGGAGACCAGATGAGATTTGCTGTGATTAAATCTGGAAGCTGTTGATAGCAGAATGCGGCTTCTGTCATCAAGCACTACATCACACCACGCTGACAACCACACAAAATTTCTCTACTCTCTTTTCTTCCGCTGTCACTTCACATTCTTTGTTTTCTATTGCTCTTCTCTTCTCTCTAACCTGCCCACTCGTTCATCCCTCCCCATTTCTTTTGTCATTTGTCTCTATATGAAAGAAATCGTGCCCTTTTTTTTCCATTAACACATATTCTCTGTTACCCTCATCCCACTATATGTACTCCCCCCACTGTGTTCTGTCCTCTCCCTTCATCTTGAGCATGCCTGTGAGGGAGCAGTAATCAGAATTTTCTTTGAAGTTAAAACAACATACCCGATAGGGAGCTCAGCTGCCAGCCCAGCCTTATTATAGCACAACTGAGCCATCTTCATTTAGCTGGCCCACCTGCATCTACACTAATGGAGGTGTACTCAGGCAAGTCCGACCAGACTGGACTGACAGGACTATCAGTCATACTCTTTTGAGGTTCCTTTTAAAGTGTTTTTGAGCTGGCTCATCAGCTGGATTCACATGTTATTCACTAATTAAGAACATTTAGATGTTTGCATACTTGGATGCTGAATTGTTGTCAGCGGGTTTTCTGCACTGTGAAAGCTCATGCTGGCTGTAACAGCACTAGAATTCATCAAACCCTCAGACATGAGAGTATGATTTGAAGAAAAAATGTTTTTTCTGTTGCTGAAAGCCAATCAAAAACAATTATTAACAAAATGTTATACTTTGGCTCTTTGGTTAAACTTAGACAAGACAAGAAGTTTGACATCCATCTATATAAACCTACAATCAGCAGGTGGTTGATGGAAAAGAGAAAAAGCCACTAACTTAAAGCATGCTGCTTTTAAAGTTAATGTTTGTTAATGTGAATGCAATTCATATCTAACGTAAATCTTTAGATGAGTAATGCAGACCCACCCAGGATGGCCACCACAACGTCATCCTTTAGGATTTCAATGGAGCCACGGGAAACAAAGTAGAGTGCTGTAAGTACATCTCCACTGTGGACTAGCGTGTCTCCAGGGGGTGCATGGGTCGTCTTAAACCTCATGGCCAAGGCCCGAAGGCAGCCCTTGGTGGCTCCGCGAAATGCTTTACAGCCCTGGAGGAGATTCTTGTTGAGGTGGAGGCAGATATCCGCCTGTAGGCACTCTGGAAAACCCTTCAGGACCTGAGTCAAAGCACACATGTGTATGGTCAGACGTATTGAGGTAGTATATTATGTAAGCTGTGATGGTTCTTTTTTCTTATATTTTATGACTTTGGGTTTGAGGTGAAGCAGTAGGTCGAATTGACTTGACTTCCAGTGAAATTTAATACAGTTGCCACTTGTGCTCTTTCCTTCTTCTCAAAACCCTGCAGTAGAAATGGTCTGCAATGTCTTTTTACTGTTTTAGTGAGCCTCTGAGGAGCTTAAAATAAGAGGTAAACAGAACATTTAGAGACTGTAAAGCTGTAGATAAATGAAATCACAAAGTCAAAACACAGATTTGACATTTGAGTCTTCTGTCTGTTTCTTTATGTACTCACATAATGAGAATCCTCTAAGAATTCTAACCTCAGTAACGCTCATTAATTTTTTTTCCAATACTCTGACCCTTTGTTTGTTGTTAAAGGATAAAAAAACAAATACCATTTAAAAAATACTGAACCGATAAAATGTGAAGCATTCCTACACATTTACCATTACAATTACCATTTCTAGTAACATCACATTCAACTTCTGTTAAAAGGAAGTTTTTCTTTTCCACAGTCACCAGGTGTTTGGTTAAAACACTGTTGGGGTTTTTCTCTTGATTGTACAGTATTTACCTTACAGTAAAAAGTGACCTGAGGCGATTATTTTTGAACTAAAATTAAAACTTAATTTTGCACTTACCGTTTAAAGACATAACCACCCCCCCCCCCCCCCCCCAAAAAAAAAAAACCCCCAGCGACCACTGACAAAAAATTACAAATCCCAGGACAACTTGAACTGACTATTAATAAGTGTACATTTTCATAGACTGAAAGGCTTGAAAATGAGGTTTGAGTTCACTGGATATCACAAAGACATTTCTTCTTTTTGTCATTTAAACAATGACACAAGCACAGCAAAAGAAATGTTGCCTGAACAGGATTTCTGGCTCTGACATGCTTTTTGTTGCTCGCAACAAAAACTGATTAGTACATTTGGAAAGGAAAGATTGAACAACATTTGGCAAGCGCAGGTGCCGCCGCGGAGCGTGCAGCCAAGCCTCCCACAGTGGGAGGGAAACCTGGCAGTGCCCAGCGAGGCTGTGCCCACTCTCACAGGCATGATTCACTCACTCTCTCTGGTACCAGATGAATATCATGGGGTTGTGTTTGAATACACAGATTTCATGCAAAAGGAACTTCAAGACAGGCCACATGCAAGTCTACCAATGATAGACGATTACTGGGGCCTGTGAGAAACATGAAGAATTACGTGTGTGTTCCTTAATAAAGGCATGCACAAGTCGATAAAATATATGTGGTATGGTTTCACCACAGTTGTGTACAAAATAGCTATATGTCCATATATGCACAGTAAATTGTGTAACACCCTGATGAACAGAACACGTCCATTAATTACATGCATGTCTGGGGCACTAATAAAACCTTGACACAGTGTATTTGATGGTCTCATGGAGAAACTAACAAAGCATTATACTACTAATGTCAGACACAGCTAGGTGAAGCTCTAAGACTGAGGAGCATCCGTATAAACATTGTGTTAGCACATGTACCTCCTGCTCTTACCAGAGTGGTGGGGTCATTCCATTTGACATGAGGCAGACATGGAAAAGACAAACTTATATAAGTACCATGAACAGTTCATGATGACAAAAGCCTGAGTTACTGTATGCACACACAGTAACAGTGGCTTTCATTCACTTGGTTAAGGCTAAACATTGCACAGGATAATGAAAGCATTGCACTATGCCAATGACATAGCAAGATAGGTTCACACTGATGTGGTAAGAGCGTTTTTCAGAACCAGATAGTTGAAACTCAGCAGAAATGGGGTTCAAAACTTCAAACTCACAGAAATGAAATTGAAAAAGGGGGAGAAGAAGTAGCAGAGAGAAAAAACCCAACAGCAATCCCAGTTTTGTTATAGTTCCGTACCAGTGCAAACACCATCCCTCTCGTACCATATTCATGTCGATGCCGTTAGTGTACGTCCAAGCGTGTTGGAAGTACTCCTCCAGCCTCTGCCTCAGTGGGTTTGGGATCTGGTGGAAGCGGATGAATTCTTTGACCCGCAGCATCTGGAGGTGATACCTGGCTGTACCTGAATACAACCTCTGGATGATGGCGGACACATTTCCAAAGATGCTGGCGTACATTAGAGCTGGGAGAGAAGCCATAGAGGTGACCTTTGAGTACAGATGGGCTCATCTCTTCATATACATAACACCTACCTTGGGAGTTGCTGCTACTGCCAGAAATGCACAAACTGATGTCCTGAATGTGGACTGTGAATCCTTTATGTTCCAATTATGCTATATCAGCAGGTTTTAACAGTGCATTTATTTATATTTAAAAAATACATTGGATCTTTCATGTAAAATGAAAACAGTACTAGTTTCAGTGTTTGGCTTTATGTCTTTCCTAACTGTCTGTATGTGCTGTCATTCAGTTATCACTCACATCCAATGAGCATAACACATATGGAAAAGATCTTCTCAGAGTTGGTGTTGGGGGAAACGTTCCCAAAGCCCACGCTGGTCAGACTGCTGAAGGTGAAGTAGAGTGCTGTGACATACTTATCTTTGATGGAAGGACCTGAGCTTGGGTCACTGTAGTTGTATTTTTTCCCTGTAAAATGCAACATAATCATTTTTCTATCCTACTTTTAAATTCAGCTTTAAAATAGAGAACTGAGGGAAGGAACTATCATCAACAGACATTACCTATTGACACCCCCAGGTTGTCCAGCCAGCCAATTTTATGCTCCAGGTAAGGCTTCTCCACATTTCCAATTGCGTACCAGATGCAGGCCAACCAGTGTGCAATGAGGGCAAAGATGCACATGAGCAGCATGAGGACAGCAGCACCATACTCTGAGTAACGGTCCAGCTTACGGGCCACTCGTACAAGCCGTAGGAGACGGGCCGTCTTTAGCAGACCGATCAGAGTGGTAGTCTGGAAAACAGAGGAGTGCACGCTCACTTAAATCTATGTGTTTTAAATACTCTACGTTTGGATATGTACATGGTACAATGTGCTAAAATATGTGATACAGGGAGTGATGGTAGTTTACTCATGTCCTTATTCTACTGGGTGATAAATCTGGGGATGTGTAGGTATTCAGGGATTTCAAAAAAAATCCTACTATTTAAAACTTCCTATTTTTTTTTCTTTTAGGCTCACGCAACACAAATAGAGTTCCTAACATTTGTAATGTTTAGTTATTTATTTAATCTCCGACAGGGACCAGTTCCCTGTTGGAAACAGGGAACTATGGCGTTACCTGTTGAGAACAGGGAACTTGCAAATTGATAAATTATACAACACTCAAAACATGGCTAAAAGGAGTTTCGCTCGTCTCTTTTTATTTATCAGGGGTTATAAATGAAAGTCTTGAAAAGCTAATAATGGCTAATAATATCGGTCTGCAAATAAATCAGTTGGGCTCTAATGGTCCATCAGTGATTAGGTTCACTCACTGTAGTTAAGCTTATAAGTGATTCTGACCAGTGTGTAATCTTTAGCTACTTTCCTTCCAACATTATTCAGCATCCCCACAAAGCAAAGTCAAAATTCAAAAGTTAAAAAAGGGATCACAGGTCTGATCAAAACACATGTGGGATGGCAAACTTCAAGTATGTCACATCTTTGCAAGCAAAGAGAACTCATTATTTGTCTACCATTTGTTTAGGGTTGGGTTTATGAGAATGTTCGGCTCATTATTACCGACTCAAAAACATATGGTGTAGCTTTTTGCAACATACAGTAGTAGATCATTCGTGCTGGTATAAACAGATCTTTCAAGGTCTCAGCATCCCTTGGGGTCAGCACAACTTCCCTGCCTCAAGCTCTACAAATCATAAAATGTCAGTAAGTATCTGGCTTCTTAACTGGCATGCCAAAAAAGCGTATGAAAGAGAGAAGGTTGCTTTGGTGATTCATCTGTTGGCAGATGAAAAAAACCCCTTTTCGATAACTGCATATGATGATGGCAAAATGAGCTTAAAAAAACCAAAAAATATCACCAGCTTGGAACCTCCATCAAAGTCTCAAAGCCAGTGTGCCAATGTGTCCCCATTTTTGACACAATGAATACAGAGTGTGTAACGTGAGAGTGGAGCGGCTATTAGTGTGGAGCAATCTGTAAACACAGTACAAGAAAATGCTAATAGGTCCAACCACTCCCTATCACACCTCGCAATTATCTTAATATCCTTAAAGAAGCACAAACCTTAGTAACTGTGCTTCATCACTTCTGTGCTTGCCTATTGTTTTATTACCTCTTGTGCAGGTGAAAGCAAATACGACATTGATTATTCAAAGCACTAAAAAGTAAGAAGGGGGCTTGTTGTTTGTTGTTTTGTTTTGAAAGCAAATGACTGATGAGAAAGAGTGCGTCTACATCATGGTGAGGAAGAGTGCTGTAGCTGCTTCTGATGGGTCCATTAAAGAGCCTCCATTCTTCCAATCTCACCCCTAAATCACAGCCATCTGTCATTGCAGTGTTCCCTTTCAGTGACAACACAGTGAACAGTGAATGAATCTTGTATAGAAACAGATGGGCTTCAAATTATCCAGCATGCAAGTGACTCTGAGTGACCTGCACAGATGACACAGTGCATGCTGTATGATGTGTAAAATTGATTAAAATCTTAAAGTAAGTTGAATGCATTTGGGGCTAAGAGTGAAGCTAAAGCTAACATTAGGAACAAACTATATGAAAAATACCCAGAAAATATCCCTCTGGTCATCTGCCACTGTAGCTTTGCAGGCTCCCCTGGCCACTTTTAAAACCCAAGAGTCAACCAAGGGTGTGATATAACTTTCTGTCTTCAAAGTGGTCACATTCTTTCTATCCGACAAGAGCTCTGCACGGCACAGAACAAGCCAATAATCACCCAAATGTTTCCCTTCTTCATGTGATCTATAAAGAGAACATATTATCCACAACTATAGTGTCTACTGTCTGAGTGAACAGTTGCAGAAAAATTTCAAGTACAAATCTGTCTGTTCTTCCTGTGTGCACAAGCGAGACTGAGGGGGCTGCCTGTTACAACGAATCTGCCTCCTTTCTCTTTGTTTAGTACAGCCGTTGCTGCAGGTTTTACAGCATAATGGAGTTGGAGTGCAATTTTGTACAGTCTGCTTTAACCAAAGGGAAAACAATGCACATTTACCCTCTGAATGGAGACAGAATGTGAAGCCGGGAAGCAATCCATTACACACGCCTCACTTGATTTGCATGAAAATATTCACAGGACATCTGTTATAGAAAAGAGGATTTGCTTGTGTTGTTCACTTGACCTTAAAGGGTTAATTTAATATTTGTAATCATAAATGTCTCTTTCAGGAGGGCAGATACAGTAATATGATCAATTTTGTGGAACTGTCATGAAGTAGCTAGACACACTGGAAGCACAGTGTTTATGTAAATTTACTACCAGGCACGGAAGAGATGTATGTAACCACCCACGCACCCTGACATTTTGGCTTTGTTCCAGGTTTACAGTGGTCTGCCCAGAATTTCAGGTGAATGACATTTGAATTGTGATTTAGGTTCACTTTTTTCAGGGATCCTCCATAGTTTGCAAATGTGTCAAATGCGGGCACTATATCCATGTGAATGTGGACATAATATGCAAACTATCTGATCTTATCACAACAGGACATTGATATGAAAATGATGGAGGAGTTGAAACAAGTCCTGCAGGCAAATTCGAAGCCACATCATTTTCTTTTGTGTGCCAGCCTGCAGCCAAGTCCAATCAAAGCAGGATATCACCCAGGAATATGCACCCAATAAAATCAGCAGAAAAGACCCAACAAAACTCTTAACACATTGTCAGATGTGGTTTCCAGGCAACAAAAGTGCATGAAATTAGGGCTAAAAATAGTTCCTGTTTCTGCACAGTGAGCTAAAATAACACATCTTAAAGACCAGAGCTAAAAATGTACATGGATATGTTATTTTCAGCTTCTCTTGATTGGAGGAGGTAAAAATACAACTTTTTTTTTTTTGCCTCATCCTGACACTGTGTGCTGTGGACGCAAATTGTAAGTAGAACACATCCTGTCACTGCACAAGTCATTTGGCTGTATGATGAGGACGTATGTTGTGCTGTGGTGTCGCTCAGCTGTCTGCTCTTTTTTCCTTGCCCGCCACTCACTGGTGGCCTCTAGCCATGTACTTCCTCAAAGAAACACACACCTAATGGTAAATAAAGACTTGGCAAACCAGTAGGCTAACATCAGATCAGGACCTTGCTCTTAATACACACCTTAATCCTGGATATATCCTAATTTTATGTGTGTTTTTGAAGGTATTGCTTTGCGTATCGTGGAACCTGGAATTTTCACACATTGCATTGGACTGCATTGCCAGATTTGCTCCTGGATTGATTTGAAAATGCAAGGAAGGGGCTGGGAATCAGACCCGCTCTAGAAACAAGAGAAATGCATGTGTTTGGGGCAGTAAAGGATTGGAATATTGTATTTCCTTTAAAATGTTTTCTTACTATTAAATATTAAATGAACCTTGATGTATGTAATTTTAGTTTGGAGTGCAAATAATTAAAAAATGTTTCATTTAATCAGATTTTTTTTGTATATTCTCAAGCTAGTAATTATGTCCTCTGTTGCTCCCCGTTCTCAGCAGCGGGAGTTTGCTATGCCATCTCCCTCAGACGTACAGTTGCTTGCAAGCAGAGCTGTTGGGCAGGCACAGACCTTTTTAAAGATTTGGATGGCCTGGGGCCGTAGAGTCTGTCTCTGATGAAAAGAGAGCGGAGGGAAGCAGATGCGAAAACGAAGTGTCAGATTGGTTTGGGAGTCTAAGCATTCAAGATAACATCTCAAAAAAAGACTGCCCAAAGTGTAGCCTGATGACACAGGGGTAACTAAGGCAGGACTGATGCTCAGCAGCTTCATGGTGTAAAAAAAGAGTTCTTTTCAATTTAGGTTTCACAAAGCTATTTCAGGTAAAAATGACCCCCCCCCCCCCCCCCTACTCATTAATCTACTGATTAAGTTTATTTAAATGTGTTCTGTACTTATTTAAATGTGACTGTACAAAGAGTTGATCTGTATCTAAGAGAACAGAGAGGATATTAAGTACAGCATTTTTAAAAATCCCTTTGGACTTCTCTAACCCCAACCAACCCCGGCAAATGGCCGTCCCTCCCTGAGCCTGGTTCTGCTGGAGGTTTCTTCCTGTTAAAAGGGAGTTTTTCCTTCCCACTGTCCCCAAAGCGCTTGCTCATAGGGGGTTCATATGATTGATGGGTTTTTCTCTGTAGTATGTAGGGTAGGGTCTACTTTACAATATAAAACACCTTGAGGCGACTGTTGTTGTGATTTGGAGCTGTATAAATCAATTGAATTGAATTGGAAGAGTGTGTATTGAGAGATGGACGGAGTACTTTAAGAAGCTGCTGAATTATGCAAATGAGTAGGAGAGGAAGATGGAGGAAAGTTAGTGAATCTGGAAGTGCAGAGGATTAGTCAGGAGGAAATGAGCAGGTTAAAGAGCATAAAGGCAGCTAGTCCAGATAACATACTTGTGGGGCAGTGAACTGTTTAACTAGAGCATGTGATACAATCTTTTACCGATTTACAAGAATGAGGGTGATGTAAGAACTACAGATGGATAACGCTCATGAGTTATGAAGCAATGAGAATGAGTTGTAGAAGCTAGGTTAAGAAGAGGGGCGACGATCAATGTGTAATGTGTATGGGCTCATGTCGAGATGGGGTTAGGGTTAGGCACAACAGGCGTGATGATTGCTTTGAGAGTATTGATGGAGAAGCATGGAGAAGATCAGAAGGAGCTGCACTGTCTTTGTGGATCTAGAGGAAACGTAACAGGAAGGTATGCTCTGGAGAGAAGATGAATGAAAGTCAGTAGAAGAAGTAAGAAATGAGTGAAATCAGAGAGACAGATTCATGGACGTATTGAAGGATATGCAGAGGGTTGTGTGAAATAGGAGGATACTAGGGATAGGGCAAGATGAAAGCCAGTGAGCTGCTGTGGTGACCCCTAAAGGGATAAGGAAGAAGAAGGACCATACATACTATTGTTACTGCTGAACTGTAATAACCTCAATCACCTGAACGACATTCACCTCAAGATGAACTGAGATACTAGTGACCATAGTGTGTAGTGGTTAACACATTTGCCTAACAGGTGAAAGATCCCTGGTTGGAGACTGGGAGAGGACACAAATAGGGTTGGATGAACCCACCAATGTTATCTCGTGTTCTAAAAGACCTTTAGAGTGAGTTGTGATTTATTCTGTGAGTTCAAGTGCTTTTCTTGTAAAGGCAGTCAGATACTCGGTCATCACTGTTGTCATCTCCAACTCTGCCTGGTTGATAACTGACTGATAAATGAAATAAATCCTCACCTCATCAGATCCTGAGCCAAAGATGAGCAAGTCAAAAGGGATGGCAGCCACCATGTCTATGAGGAACCAGCCTTTAAAGTAGTGGATGGCGATCTTGGCTGGGTGGCTGACCACCTCCTCATTGGTGTTGACGTAAGTCGTCCTAAAATTTATAAGGATGTCCACTATAAACATAATGTCAACTATCAGATCAACCACATTGAGGGGCGAGCAGGAATAACCACACTCCCGTCTCCTCTGCTCCTCAATGTCATTGAGGAGGAAGGCAGCAGAGTAGGGGGTGAAAATGGCCGTGTAGATGACCAGCAGCAGGATCAGCCAGTCCCAAACTGCTTTGAATGGACTGTAGTGAAGAATGGTCCACTTATCCATCCGTGGTGTCTGGAGTTTGTATTCAGGAAGCACATCGGCACCCAGAGAAAGAACCTAGTGAAAAACAAAGAGAACTTTTAAAATTTTACTGCCTTTAACATTCACTATCTGTGTTCAAATACACACACATTTTGGGAAATAAAAGTGTAATACGGTGCTTTTTCTTGCAGATTCTTTGCAAATTTGTTTTTATTGAGGACTTCACTGATTGCCTTTGCAGTGCCTGGGAGAAGCTTTCAATTTCTATTTCTGTTTTACGACACCATCAGCAATATTTTCAGAGTGAAGGGTCAGGCGAAAGGATTACAATTTTAACTACATGGACATTTCAAAGAGTCTGTAAGAAGATTTGCATCACAGGAAATACAGGATGAGCACTGTTTTTGATTAAGAGTCAGAACTTATTATTTGCCACTTTGAGTCTCTACTTTGTGAAGGTGCAACAAATCTAAGAACTGCATGCACTTAACAATCTTAAATATGCTCTGTTTTTTGAGAAATTTAGTTAAATACAAGAAAATTTGAAAATATTTATACTAAGCGTTTGCATGTCTGCTCTCTTACATTGCTGGGCATGCTAGTAAGTGGAATTGCATACAGTCATGGTGATAAATATCAGTACATATTAAAAATCAACTTGTCCTTAGCAGCTCTTAAAGTAAGGTAAATATAAAGTTAGATGAATAATTATTAAGCTAAAATGAAGAAGCAGTGTGCGAAAAATTATAGTACACAATGTCCACAGTTTGGACTGAGAAGAAAGACAGTTTGGAGTAAAGGAGGCCATTTACGTCCACTGTGACAAACCATCGAGGTGACCTCTAGAGCTCATATGACGGTGGGGTCGGGTGATGCCTTGTAATGTTAGCGGTTTCACACCTTTGTTCTGGAGGGGGTAATGACCCCGCCTTTTTTCACATCTTGGTTCATGTGATAACCCGCATGATTAATTAATAGTGGGTCATTGACCCTCAGCACCACCCCGAAGGCGTTGGTGTACGGCAGGGGTAGGCAACTCCAGGCCTGTCCTGCAGGTTATAGATGTGTCCTTGAGCAAGCACAGCTGATTTAAATGGCTAAATGACCTCCTCAACATGTCTTGAAGTTCTCCAGAGGCCTGGTAATGAACTAGTTGTTTGATTCAGGTGTGTTGACCCAGGGTGATATCTAAAACCTGCAGGACGCCCTTGAGGCCTGGAGTTGCCCACCTCTGGTCTGAGGGTTAAGGGTTAATTTCCTGGGACTCTCCATCAGTTGTTTTAAAACTGAAGAAGCCTCTGATGACAGGAGGAATATCTTCACTATCCTAAAGAAGTCACTGTGGCTCAAGTTTTAAAAAAGTTTAGTTTTAATTAAGTTTGAAATCAAATTTGCTATGAAAAAGACAAACAGGCTATGAGAAACAGAAGAAAACAGACGAAGGTGCATGTGATCTGTCAACCCCACATGAAAAAAACAAAACAAAACTCCTGATTATCCAACATCTGTGGGAGAGTGCCAAGAAATTAGACTGTAAGTGATAACATCCTAGCAATGACATGCCATATTTTATGAAAGATAATTTAGGATAAGATGAGATAAGGAATACTGGAATATGTTTAAATGAAGGTTAAAGCCTACATCAATGTTACAGAGCACATGGAAAACAAATGGCCACAAACCTCGTTGAACTAAAGTAATGATGTAAACAGGTAACTGCTGCTAAAGGTGGTTCTACAAGATACTGAATCATGGGGTGTACTTAGTTTTATTTTGGCTTTGATATCATAAAGACAACATGTAATAAGTCATCAATTGTTAATCTGAAATTGTAAGACCTGATAAGGACCTTTTTAATAATGCCCTTATACGTAAAGCCGTGGAATTAACAAAATGTATATTTTCTTTAGATTAGGTCAAGTAAAATTCAAAAGAAAAGACTTATCGCTGTGTGAATAATGCAGCTGTACATCATATAGATTCAGATGTAATGCACTTCACCATTATCTGTCATCCACAAGAACATCTTGCACATTACTTTAGGCATGATTTCCAATAAATAAATACTTCTCCAGTGCCTGTTTACAGAAACTCTTAAAATTGAAGCTTCAGTTGAGGGAGTGATACCTTTTATTATTATTATTTGTAAGAATATTGTTTATAAGAACAGAAACTGAACATATCAAACCAAAATAAAATGATGATGCATCAACTGCATATAGAAAAATAAGAGCATGCATAAATGTCAAAATGTATCATCAAGACTGGAGGTATAATCCATTCCGGCAAGCCTGAATGTCAACATAATTATCTCTGTTATTGCAGTCACCATATAAACTACAGAACCTAATAGCTTTTAACATGAATATTAAAGCAGCGTCATGGGACTTTTTTCAGATAAGAGTCTCAGTGACTTGGAGGTAATTATAGGTGCAGGCAGGGGTACAGCTATTCATCTAAGTGTTCAACACTTCAATAGCTACAAATTTTCATTTTCACTGCTGATTATGGCAGAGGGGGTAGGTTTGATGGGTGGGTGTGCAGGTAAATTGTATGCACTACAAAGGCAAAGATACAACTATGATGTGATGTATGTGAGTGAGCACGAGAATGAAACAAGAAGGGAGGGCCTTGAGTGACTTTATTTTGGCATTCATCATATTTTTCATTGCTCCTCTATCGGTGCCCTGTCAACCCTCTATTCTAACCATTGTAACTGGGGAGGTAGGACCGGAGAACAGAAGGATGACGTATAGCACAATGTGGCGTGGTATTAATAATTGAATTGGTTATTAAAAACCCCATCCCTCTGGGAGGAAGGTCAAACGCTTTTACCCTCTGATATGGGATAACCTTTGAAATCGATCAGAAACCAAAGGAAAGTCAAAGGGAATGCGCTCTAATATTCATCAAGCTGCCACTTCATTAAAGCTGGATTAAAGTGATGGTTTTAACTCAGAGTTTAATTACTGTTGACTTTGAAATAACACCTTAGATTCCCATTCTTGTAAAATGATTTCCGTTAGGAAGGAGTATAAATGTTGAGAAAAGCTGACACTTGCTGTACCGAGGACGATTGTGGCCCGATTGCTCACATGATCCCACAACCTGCTGGTAATCCTGAGAAAGTTGGTTGATTTGTCAGAGTGACAGTTCTAGATCAAAGTGTTGTAGACATCTGTTTCTAAATTAATGATCCCATCTTAATTATTTAACCTGGTTACAGTAGCCATGTGCACTTGGTCAAATGAACTCTTTCTTGCTGGTTAATGGAAAGCGCATTCTGTGTGTGTCTCTGTCTCAAGCACAAATAAACATTAGCCCTCCCCTCTTCTGTTTTTTCTGGTCTGCACAGTGCACACTGAGATATCATTTATAAGTACATAGACTGTTATTTGACTCAAGATTCCACCTCAGATAACCGCAAGAAGTATAAACTGCTAAGATGCGGTCATTTGAGCCTCATATGGGGATGAGCCACACGTAGGGCTGTTCGATATAACGATATATATCGGATGACGATATAAAAACGTCTATCGTTTCATTTTACACTATCGTTTGTTTCGTGGTGTTGCAAAATAAACTGTTTACGGCAATATTTTTTCATCGTTTTGATGGTCACTGTAGTGGCTAAATTAATTTCTTAAAGTTCTCTCTTTCTCTTATATTTTATATAACCACACTACTGATGGACAAGCGCATGTTTTTATGCGTTGTGGTTAGCAACAACTACGGAGCCCCGCTGGGGACATGGGAGAAAAAAAAATTAAGACAGACTTTTGCAAACTCGGGATCTCGCAAAACTTTTGCAACGACCTTTCACAATAAAGCTCAAGATCCTGTTGAGACTTTTCCAAAAAAAATGGATCACGTGAAAGAGCAGATTATTTACGGATGAGAAATAAAAAAAGAGCCGCCAGGTGCTAAAAAATAAACCTTAGACTCAAACGTTAGAACAGGCTTTTCCCCGCAGCACGCCGTGTAATAAATACTCACAAAGAAAACGGCGGCCTTTACAACTTGTGTCTAAAAATGTATAGTTTCATGCATTGGTTGAAACACTCGACTCCAGCTACATGACGCGCAGCTGGAAACACTTCCCGCAAGTCGAGCTGCCCGAGATTCACAGAATTTACAGAAAATGTTACATTTTTGTGATTTATATCGTTATCGGGATGATAGAATTCTTATATCGGGATATGAGATTTTGGTCATATCGCACAGCCCTAGCCACACGTGCACTGAGAAGTTCAAAATGTAATAAACAGCCTGTGAGGTGCAAGTCTGCTTTCCTTTTTAGCTGATCAGTTTCCTGGGTGAAGCCACCATCTGGCTGCAGTACCTGTGAGGTGGCCAAGGCCAACAGAGAGTGTATCTGTTCAGATGCTTTAATCATAACTTCAAATAAACTCTGATGAGTTCAAAGTTGCTTTCAAGACATCTTCTGTCACTTGGTTGTCAAAGTCAGGTGTCCAGAAACCCGCTTACCAATCTTAGCCGTAAAGGAAAGTGATAGGATAGGAAAAGTGTATTTTACAGTTATATTCTAGGAAGTATGAAGCTTCTTGATGCTTTCACCACGCTTATGCAGCAACTCTTCTGAGGTGTTGTATTCTACCACATGTTACCCAAGTCAATTAAAACCATATTAAGCCCTCTCTTACTTTGCACTTGTGTGAGAGGACATTGTGCCATTCTGTGGTCCCTCTGCCTCTGGCGTCAGTGTAGGCCTGCAGCTGAAATTGGCTTTGAGCGCAAACAGGGGTCAGTTTCTGTGTCCTCTATCTGTTACACCATTAATTGGCAAAATGCAAAACTGAGACCTAATCAGTAGTTTCAAGCAGCACTGGCCTACTCCTAGGACTACATTAACTTATAGTTCCATGCCTCTCAGTCCTGGCAGGAAAGGTGAGAATGACCTCTTACACTGTTCGTAACTCTAGACATATAGCCTGAGCTCTGGATGCTGTCTGACAGCTGTAAGAGAACACTTGGCTATAGACACCTCCAATGCTTTACGTATCAGATCCCTTGAATTTCAGTTAATCATCCTGATGCTGACTGAGGGCATTTGGGAGTGTGCATGCAATCTGCTGATAAAGTGCTCAATCTGTCCAAGTCTGATTTGTGATGATCATAAATGATAATATGATGAACATTATATTAGAATTCTAATATCTCACTGTTCTCCAGTCTGCACAGACTTTATTAGTAAAATCATTACAAATAAATACAGACTAAGGGCCCAAGACATTTCAGTCTATTCCTGATTTTTTTAGTAGTCCTGTTTATGTTGTTATTCTTATTGCAGTGCTGCCTCTGTTTGTTTGGGTGATACATTTGTTTTTATTTTATGTAGGCAAAAAGCTTGAAATTACTACTTGTTTCTTCAAGAATGAAAACAGTGATGTAGTATGTTTTATTCCCTTCGCACTGTCCATAACAGTTTGAAGACCCAAATTCATGAGTCCTCAGATGACCAAACACACAGCGAGCACTGTTTAATTGAGGTTGGATAATTCCGAAGGAACAAGGTAATCCAAAAACTAAAACTGGCCTGAGCAATATATGAAAACCACACAGTGGAAAAGCACTGGCATCAAAGGCAGGGGGATGAACACAGCCAGAGAACATACGTAATCAGACAGACTGTCAACTATCAATAGGAATACAGGACTATAAATAAATAGAAAGAATAGAAACTCACAAGGCACAAGTGAAGAAAATGAGGCTGACAGGATGTAAATCCAATGAAAACATTTTTGTTGCGTTTGCAGGTCTCACAGGTAGTATTATTATTATTTTAAGGATCCAACAGATCATTTTTTGCCTGTAATTCTAAATTACAGGCCCTCAATTTTTCTCCCCATTCACAAACTTGAAACTGGCTCACGTCCTTACCTGTGTGACTTTGTCTGTGACATTGTGAGTGCGATCTTTGACTTTTGGGGCGATGATAGTTTTCTCAGAGGATGGAGGGGAGGGGCACTTCTTATCATTGTTTGCCTCTGAGAAGTTGAGCGTGATCAGGGGAATCTTGTTGATGGTGGAGTACTTGTTGAGGTTGGAGTCGGAAGTTGAGCCAAGCAGGCTTGATTTGATTTGGCTGAGTGGTCCTGAAAAAAGAGCACGGCAGAGGGTGGGTGTTATTATTAGAAGATGCCGTATCTTGTTTTATAGCTGGGCTCTTGTTGATCTGTTATGCACTGTCAGTAGTGTTTATTTGGAAGTAGTTGCAACATGGGTAGTGAGCATGGAGTGATTCCTAGTTTTGGAGTGACTTCAACCACAACACAATACCGAGAATACAAAAGATGCTGAAATATAAACTGTACAGCCTTTCAGAGCCTCTCATTAAAACATAATGAACAACACTGTTGGTGAATAAACAGAATGATTTAATGTGCAATCAGAGAGTGCAAGTTCCCATAGTTTGCCAAATCTAGTGCAGTGATCTCACTGTATAGATAAGATTATGTAGTATGATCAGTGAACACTTTGTATGTAGAACACAATCATATTAAAAACGGAACTGTGCGATAGCGCTAAACAAACTGACATGTGGCCCAATGAGAGTGAGAAAAGTGAAAACAAGAAGTTTGCTAATTCAGCTGCGTGAACCAGCAGAGGAAGGATACACTGCCCACCCCACAAAGCACAGTGATTGAGAGTCAAGGACAGAGAAACAGACAGTTGAGGATGAAAGATTGCATGCGCAGCTTCAATACATGCCACAGTCAGGATACATCAAAGCCGTCATAAAAAAACAACTGAAAAGAAAAAAGCTGAAGCCATACCCCCAGCCATCCAGGAGCGAGATACTAGCCAACCAGGAGAGAGAAGAAATAGGAGGTAAAGGAGAAAGTGGGATTATGGAAAGGTGTTTGGGACGTTGGGTCAGTAGTCTCGGGTACAAGCATATCAATAATGTGGCATTACTAGTAAATAGAGCTTGACAGGGGCTCTATCAGTAAACCTTTAGAGGATTAAAAAGGGCAGACTATGATGCTAATGTTGCTATTAATATGTATTCCATTTGATTACAAAGAGCATATGACTTTTAAAGAACCTGGTTGAATATGTGCTGTACTATGCATTCAACATAGCACTGCAACAGTTCAATTAAGCATGTAAACAGTCAGGTTTCTTTCCATTCACAAAGATAAGATCCAGAGCTTGCACACAAGAAAGCAAAGGTTAAAGACAGTAGGAGGCATCATTTCTTAAGCATTAATTTATCCTCTTCAATGAACAACAAGCAGGAGAGAAGTTTAACGTGCTGCTTCCATGCAAGCATGTGCAGAGGTTACTGTGTTTTCTTTTTAGTGAGCACTTACAGAGGCTGGCTAGGTTTAGGCAGGTCGTGTAGTCATTTAGTGTCTTTCGAGGCCAAAGAACTTACAAACACAGTCATCTGCTGAGGCATTTGCATACAACATGAACCTTTTGTGGGAAAACTCATGCAACAAGCAGGCTTTGACATGTACACGTGTATCATTAGACATGCCGCTATTCACGATCTGAAAATGCAGCAGGTTGCCGTTAGTTACCTTTGATATTGCGACCATTATCTGTGAAGGTGGCAACAGAGTGGGGGAGAAGACAGAAAAAGGGGAGTGGAGGTGAGAGAAGAATTTGTGGGTGTCTATGATGATAAATGGGGGTTGCCGTTAACGACCCGCTACTGTCCCTGTGAACAATGCATTACAGGGAAGTAGATGTATTAAATGTATCTAAATAGGAATTAGAGGCAATTGGAGGAGACTGATTGAGCTGCAGGAAACAGGACCAGTATGGGTCACTCCTACCCTCAACCAAATGAGGACCAAAAGGTGGAAGATCAATACCACAGATTATAGATGTGACCATCTACTGAGGATTCACTAGAACCCCACATAGCTGATATTTTAGGACGACAGTCTTAGTAATTAATTAGATTTGTAAATAAAATATCAATTACATTTGTTTCTTTCTTATATCACATCAATTCAACAAATCAATAAACAAGACATCATCAACCAGTGCTGTGCACTTTGCAGTTTAATGTAAACTAATGTAAACTTTGTTTACCAGTTTAAAGCATTTAAAATAAATACAAAGTGATTATTAAGTAATACCATATATACAGTTCAGCAACTGTTGATGCATATCTGAAAATGTATAAAAGGACACTCTTACCTTCACTGGCATGCCGGTCCCTGAACACCATCTTAGAGTTGGACCCAAAGCCTTCCATGTCATGTACAGAAGAGGCCCTGCGAATACTGCACATACTCTCTCTGGAGGCAGTTGGAGTAAGGCCTGGGATTGATGGAGCTGCAATAAGCGTGTCCTCTTGGCTCTGGTTTTTTGTCTGGGCAACGGCCTGGTCCGGGTACATCCGGTCCCAGGGGCCTTTAGGCGACGAGTGGTCCAAAGGCTCAGACACAGGGGTTGAGCAGTGGCTGGGGCCGATGAGGGCACGGGTGTCATTGGCGTAAGAGGGACTGCAGCTCTCTCGAGTGGTGGGAAGTTGGTAGTCACGTGTTGCTACTGAGCCGTCACTGTAGCGAGGAGAGTCTACCATGACGGCATCAGGGTCTTCCTGGGGCAGGGACTGCTTGCTGATTCCCAGGAGAGGTAAGGCTGGGAGACGGAAACGAAAGAATCTCCCTTTCCCTGACAGAAAACAAGAGAAAAATCAATAAGAACAAGTGGTCGCACTGCCTCTGTTTCTCCTATATTGTTCCACACTTATGCCACCAAGATAATATTTTTTTATAATAAGAATATGAATAACAACACTGACAAAGTGTCTCAATTCTGATTAGCACATGTTTTTATACAGCGCCAAATCACAACAACAGTTGCCTCAAGATTCTTTATATTGAAGTAAAAGACCCTAAAGAGGGTAAGACTTTTATTCTGAAACACAAAACTGGTATACCCCAATCCCCTTCGAAGCCTTCCCCAAAACCGCAGCTCAATTAATGTCCAAGCCATTCACCTTTATCTACTAAAACACTGTCAAACCTCAAATGGGAACGTGGGCCCAGTGAGTGAAATAAGATTTAAATTTCCAGCATATCAAATTTCACTTGCTGAGTAATCCTCACCTTTAAAAATAATCTCTCATCTGCTTCCCCGCTCCTCTCTTTCATACATCTGCACTCATCTTTCAGTGTTGTATATTTACAACAACTGTAGATTTAGCTTGCAGACACTATTTGTGAGATGCTGTGATAGGTTTGTAGCTTGAACCCATCCGCTGGAACGTTGAAGACAATATAATTACACTGCAAAGCAAGACACAAGTAGGCAAGCTTCTTCATGTTTCTCGTGCACGGGAGAGAACCGGACAGGCACCGTTCCTTCGCTTGACCCCAGTTGCTCTCGTCCGTCCTCCCGTACACTGTCCTTTTATTGAGGTTACATGAATATGCATAGGTTCATTAACATATGACGTCTACATAGGACAAACAAAGAGTACTGTGTGCTGTGTGTGTGTGTGTGTGTGTCGTGTGTGTGTGTGTGTGTGTGTGTGTGTGTGTGTGTGTGTGTGTGTGTGTGTGGACTGCTGATCAAAGGTCAAACATCCTTGGTCAGGAAGAGGGTAGCCTCCCCCTCACCCTAGATGGTTCATCCTAGATAACACGGTGAGGAAGTCCTGCAGTTCATCTAAACAAAGAGCACTTAGACTAGAACAGACGCAACTACGTTGATCCTACCATAAAACAATAAGACACGGTATGACCTCTCATGCTCCCAAAGTGCTGTCTAATACACACAAAGTTTGCAGACTATCAAGGATCAAAACCTCTACCAACCTACAACTAATTACAAAACTCTAAGCATATATAAGTAAATATTTCTAAGCATAAATGACAATCAACAATACAAACTCTAACATGCTGCACAGAAACAATTTGTTTCTGCCAGCCAAATGTACAAATGTGTAGATATTTATTAAATCTGTTGAAAAAATCCATTTGAAATTACTTGACACTTAAAAAACCTTACTCAATTTAATCGTGATGCTGAGCGCCATGACAAAAACTTTATTTACATCTACACCATGAACGCATCATAGGGAAAAAAAAGAGATGTGTTCAAGGTGTAAGCACATTGTGGGATTACATTTTCTTATTACTGAGCAAGAGGTAAACCCAGTCTAGCTATGGACAGAATGGGGACTGCCCATTCAATCATATCTATTATCCACCTGATCAAAGGTAAAGTAAAAAAACTTTTAAAAAAGTAAAGTAATTTGAGTTTTTCTTCAGGGAGTGACAAAAATAGCCCAGAAAATATGAGTATTGTTGCAAATTTTATCTCTAACCTTTAGCTTCTATTAATGGATTGGAACAAAATATTCTTGCATAGATTTGTTTCTGTCAAGCAGGGAACGCCTGAGGACAATTGATATCACATTTAATGTAACTGATCCACTCAATTAGTGTGAAGACTATTTGACTGTAGTCACACCCAAATAGCATAAAAACAGAGAATACAGTGGATTTTAATGAACCCCTGAGAGACACAACCCCCTGTGACCTTGCGGCGTGTTTTTACGGTGTGTTTATAAGAAAACGTGCTTACATTCTTCAGCATCCCTGGTGATACCTCGCATTTGTTTGCCAGCATCACTGAAAAGCCTACCAACACAGCTTTCTTAAAAAGACCCTGGCAGATCAACACAAGTGCTTGCTCTGCCTCAGGCACAAGTTCAGGCTTCAGTTTCCTTCAATTATTCATAAGGGAGGACATTTGTGGAAATACTATAGTGTGATGTATAGAAGAGTCAGTCTTATAGGAGATTACAGAGAGTGCTTTAATGAGTGACTGATAGCTTCTGGAGAGATAGTAAAAAGTCATATTTCTGACCATATTGAAACATACGGCAGTTCTGAGGGATGATAGTATAACAATATAAGTTTACTGTAACGCTCCCCACCCCAAAGGCACACACCATTCACACACACATTTACTTGGGTTGTACACTATATGCAAACACCATAAGACAGATGCTCAGACTTACAGGTTTTCACATACTGTATGCACTGCAAAGTCACCTGAACATATGCTATGCATATAACAATACTCTCTCAGCCTTTAGTCTTACTGCCATGGTGACACAGTGAAAATCAGTAAACACATCACATTATCATGTCTCCTTTGTATATTTTCTGCAGACAGCTACATTGTATACAACATACCGACATATGCAAATAGCGGAAAAGGTAAGGATGTATTCAGAAAAGTAGAATTAATGTTTGAGTGTTAGCAGGGAGCAGCCCGTCGCTTTATCTACCTCACTGCTTCTTCTACTGGGGTGAGACTGACAGGGAGGAGAGAGAAAAACTAACTTTAGACACAATGCCAATGTCTGTTTGGGTCAATGTGGTGTGTTTAAATTAAGTCTGGAGCCAGATGCTGATGCCAGAAGTGATCATTGGCATTTCATTTGAGATTCAGATTGGAAACTCCAATCTGGGATACCGTTCATATTCATTAGGATGAAAACAGGTTGAATCGGCATTCTCGTCTTTTAAAAGCGATTGTGAACAAAAGTCTGTTTCGTGAGAGCTCAGTTCTATTTTTCTAATCACACCACTGTAATATTACAATACTACCATGTTAGACAATTAATTGTGAAGCATTTCACAATTTTAAGGGCCAACATTGACTGCTAAAAGTGACATGTTATGAAAATAATGAACAATATTACTTGCCTCCAATTATTGTGCATGGAGGATAAGTGGACAATGTATGCCACAGCTCCTTAAATTAGTTAGTAATTCAGTCACACAGTCAGCGTGTGGTGAGAAAATTGCATGTACATTTAATTGTGGCACTGAAAGAGCCAAACGTTTCATGGATATGTTGCCCTTTTTGTGACTGCTGTTACTGCATGTACTGTATGCGTCTCTTCCCTCTTTACCCCTCCCGTTCCCTCCCTGCAAAATCTCACTGGCAGCTTTACACAACCAGTACAGTGGCCCTTGTTGCTATGATACCAGATAGTAATATTTGCACTGAATATTAATTGGGTCCTCAGATCCCCATGTTGGGGAGTGAAACATCTTGATGTAATGTGAGCATCATTCAGAGATTACGTTAGAAGCAGAAAGGGAACAACAACCCTCCATGCTGTGGTAAACGCAGGACAAAAACGATGGTGTGTCTTTTTGTCTCTGTCTTTTGTTCTTGAGCTTTTGCTGACATTACATAAAAAAGAGAGTTGTACAGCAGTTAATGTGTTTGCTAAGTGATTTGAAAGCAGATTTCTTTCACCTTAAGAGTTGTTTTCCTAGATTTCCAGCACAGCCCTAGTATTACTCACATGCTCTAGAGCAGGGGTCGGCAACCTGCGGAGCCGCACGTGGCTCTTTAGTCCTTATACTGCAGCTCCGCATGGTTTGGGAAAATATATTACAAGTATTTAGCTGAAGTGTATTTTTTGTATTCGTTCTTTTTAAACTTGTAGTTCTAAATTGGAAGATTATTGTGACATTGAAATATAAAAATAAAATCAAATTTTATTATTTTTCGTCGCTCAAAATAAGCGTCACACTCGCGGAAGCATCTTTCTTGTAGTCGTCGTTCCAACACAACAACAGTGTGTTTGGTTTGATTTGTAGACCCCGAAAATGGCACCGCGCTCCCACAATGCATTGCGGCGTGACGTCAACTCCAAAGCCCTATACTCGCCAATATAAACAATATATACAGTGTTATCTTCATTTTAGATGTCAAAAAGTATTTGCGGCTCCCAGTGTTTTCTTTTGTGTGGAAACCGGGTCCAAATGGCTCTTTGGGTGTTAAAGGTTGCTGACCCCTGCTCTAGAGGATAACATTTGTATTTCTGCTGGGTCCCAACTTTGCTCTCTGCTTATTTATTACAGAGGAAATTAGCCTGAGTTGATAGTCACGAGCTTTATTTTATTTATTTTTTAAGTCAGGCAGTTGCCATCGGCGTGTGAAAATATACCAGAGTGATAATCAGTAAAGGTCCCTGGCTGAATTTGAAATAGAAACACTATAGAAGTCAGTGATCAGTACAAAACCTCACAGAAAGAAAGTTCCCCTTAGGTGGGCTCCTGCTGGGTACTCAGGGTTCCTCCCGCAGTCCAAAGACATATGTTATATTCACTGGTCACTCTAAATTGGCTACAGATATAAAGTACACGAATTACTTAAACTGCGTGGACAAGGGTAGAAAAACAAGTAAAGAGGGAAACAAAGAAAGAAAGACTAAGACAGAGTCTTAGTAGCCCTGAAGGCTAATCCTGAATAAACTGAAAAGCCATTTCCCCAACAGGAATTTGATGAATCTTTCCTCCTGAGGAAAAAGATAGCTCATAAATAATTTCCCCCAGCTGCTCTTCACTTCCTAGGCTCATCACCACATTCCCCAATGCACAGAAGCCAGTGTGGTTGGTTACAGAAAACTATAGTGCGACTAAATGCTAAAGACAACACATAGCGCCATCAATCCACTAAATCTGCAATTCCTTGCTCGTTTTTTCCTGAAACCTATTCTGAACCTCCTGTTGTTCTACAGTTATAAACACATCATGTGGTTAGATTAGATGCTGAGCTGTAGTGGAGAGCTCAAAATAAATAGTGTCTAACGTGAAAATCTGGTGTCTAATGTAGAGATAGTAAGGAGACAAGCA